AAATGACGTGGCTTTGCCACGTCATTTATATAGTAACCTAACGATAAATCAGTTATCATCCACAACCTAACCAATAACAAGTACGTATCATGGATAATAATTTTAATAGTTCATATGAGGCGTCTTCAATCAAAACGTAACTTAGTGAGATTGATCATTTTCAATACAAAATGATACGTAAAAAATTAGAATGTAACTAGTGATCCAAATCGTTAGTTGAAAAACCAACTAATCGATTGGAAATTTTTTAACCAACTAATCGTCTACATAATAAATTTAAAGCATGTGATTTTTTAGCCAATCAGAATGGTTTGAAATGATACAGAAAACACGTGATTATTTATTATGCAATCAAATTTATTGAACACATGTGACTATTAGTTGCAACTAATCGATTGGAAAAATTTTAATCAACTTTGCAACAACCTACTTAGTATAGCTGATAAAAATAAATAAAATATTGATTGATAACACCCTATGTTAAGACCAGGCCTACCGAATAATTGATTGTAGAGGCAATTAATTGCAATTTTTAAAGCTCAATTAATTAATTGGTGGCGCAGTCACAATTGGTAAATTAATTGCAATTTTACGAAATTAGATAATATCGTATACAGTCAACTCTGGATATAACGAACCTTTTTATAACGAACTCTGGATATAATGAACCCAAATTTTCTAAATTTTAATATTAGTTCGGTATAACAAGAGCTACGGCTATTAAGAAAACATAGTAATTCTATATAATGAACTTTTTTTTTGGCCAGAACCGAGGGTTCGTTATAGAAAGAGTAGACTGTACGTATAGAGACGTTATCGGCTTGATCCGGCTTGTATATTTAGCTATTATAAAAACCGATTAATGAATACAGGAATAGAGTCGAACAAGCTGGTAACATCTCTAATCGTATATTCACCACTACAATATGATTTTGATTTTGATTTTTCGCTGTTTAAAAGATCAGATTACACTAGTGAAAGAAAATTGAATTTAATTGCAATTATTTCGTCATTATATAATAAAGGCATTTTGTCTTTAACGAAAATCATCCACCTCGAGATTCAAATTACATATGAATCACTTAATTATAGGATCAAACATCGACGCGCAATATAGCATTTTGTAATAATTAGACGATATGAGAATCATACCGTATAGGAGCGTATTAACACGCATCTGTGCGTTATTTTGAGGCCCTGCGCGTTATTTGGAAAGCGCATATCCGATAACTCGAATCATTATCTTGAAGAAAAAAATTACAACTTCTAAAAACTTTCTTGAGACTATGTATGTGAGGCGCATTATTTGGACGTGCATGGACGCAAATATGCGATTTTCAAAAAAAAAAAAAAAAAAAAATAGAATTTTCGAAATAACGCCCGTATTGCTGTATTGTATACAATTTGGCAGTGTGTGTACAACACATCTGCGAAAAATGATAAAATTATATATTCAAACTTAGCATAATAATACAGATAATTTTACAAATAAAAATAATACATCATACAAAAAGATAATGTCCTGCGATACTAATTATAAATACAAATTATTTGCTATTATTCTTTATCGAAATATATACACTCCATTTAAGATTATGTAGTTAACATTAATCTAAAATTGCTTTTTCATGTTCTTCTTGTGCTTGTTTCTGGTGTATCCTAATCGCATTTTCTTTCTTTGATATGCGTTTGGAAGAAGCCTCTAAATCGTCGATGTCTAAATTATTTTTTTTCTCATTTTCGGATCGTCCATATACAGAAAGTACATAAAATCCACGCATCATATTTCGGAAGCAAACGATAGAATAATGTACAGTAATTAATACAAGAATGAAAGTTATAACTAAAAAAAAGGTTAAGAATCGTCGAGTAAACTCGTACGGATCTAAACAAGGAAAAAAAAAAAAAATTTGAAATGGTGAGAATAGAAGACATTTTATAAAATTGATTCAAAGAAAGAAATATAAAACAAATACCAGATCCATTTTGTTTAGGAAGGTTAATAGTTGTAAATCGAAAAGCCCAATAAACCAATGATATAGAATACATATTGATCGCTGATAACAAAAGATATTTCTTTTCCATAATGACAGAGATCCAAGCTATTAACAACATGAGAGTACCAAAAAAAAAGACAAGGGCAATCTCCACAATAGAAGAATAATAACCAATTTGTTTAGAGGGTATGAGTTGTATGGCGTACGATCCAATAAAGAATACGTCCATTTTAATCAGTGTCTGTAAAATCGTAAGACTCATAAATCTTTCGCGGACTTGAGGATCAGAGGAATAAATTTTATAGTTTTCCCAACCAAATTCTTTGGTGAGCAAGTAAGACATGACAGCTAAATATATAGAAAAAGCGGATATTAGGCCAATTATAGTATGTTCGAGTGGTCTCATCAACGCTTCATAATGAACTTTGGGAGCATCCCTATCATCTTTAGGGAAAATTGGATTAATCGGGGTATAAGTTGCATTCTGAGTGCCTTGATCTTCAAGAATTTTGTGTTGATAAAGTTGTATTCCTACATATGCTAATGTAAGAAGGTTGAATACTACAAGGGCTACTATTTGGACAGAATTACGATGCCAGAGAGCATCAACTACTAAAAGTACTTGAAAGAATAGTGAAAGAATAAATCTTGGAAATAATAAAAGAAAAAAAAATTATTAATATATATATATTTTAATTTTTTTTTTTTTATAAAAATAAAAATAAAAATAAAAATAAAAAGAATTAACGATGAATTACTTACATTGAATGATAAATTAAGTCGGCCTCTGATATTCCATCACCAACTGAATCCAACTGATATTGGCTGACAAAATTGACATGGAAATAAATGACGAAGGCCTCCAAGACGGTAATTATTATTGCCTGAAAAATGAAAGAAATAAGCGAGATTTTGCCTAAGACGCTTATCTTCCCCATTACTTATATACAATTAATAAGAAGATTTGAAATAAAATTTTGAAATTATCGCTTAATGTGTGTTTTATTAATGTGATTTATTAATGTGCTTTATGAAAAAAAATGAACTCTCGTAACAAAAGAATCTATTGTATAAAACTATAATTTTGTGGTATTTATTTGTTGTAAACTGTTTGTTAGCTTTAGGCTGTAGCTAAACCTATTCCTGATTAAGGAAATGAATAATAGAGTAAAATTTATATACAATATATATATATTTAGTAAATACTGATTAGATCGTATCACCATCGGCGAATTAAGTCCGATGGTGCAATGGACAAAAACGGCGACAGAAAACCGGTAATCATTTCATGAAAAAGAATAACTAGAGATTAAAAAGAAAATCGAATTCTATATTAGTTAATATATATATTTGTTAGGACCTCACCTTTTTTATTATGAGTCAAAGAGATTCGTATTTATATTTTATTTTTCAATGAATTAAAGTTCACATTTTCTCAGACTTGCAGGTTACAATGATATTACTTACGTAACTCTCATTTCTTCTAATAAATTTGGCCTTTCTTTGCCATTTCTTATTTCTAATACGTACTGTTATCCGAAATTACGTAATTTGTCGCCATACCTTATTTCATTTACAATTAATTTTTCAATTTTTGTCGATTATCAATTGACATAAGTCATTTTTCGATTCCTACCGATCGACAGACAGATGACTCGGGCGATTTTAATGCAGACTATGAGACTTAATGTAATAGACTGTTTATAATAATAATTTAAGATAATAATTCTCCTATCGTCACTTTTTTTGTTCATTCAATCTTTTATCTCTGAATACTACTTTTTTTTAAGTTTGCAAGGATATAGTTTATGGCTTGTGATACCGTTGATCGAATATTAAAGAACTTCAACAACGAAGTTTGGAGGTATATAGTAAAGTAGTACAGTACGGTAGTACAGTACGTACTGACATTAAAAAAAAAACAAAGAAATATCATACTTAGACGTACGTATGATTACATATTTAGTATTTATACAATTCTGTAACTGTCAAATAATATATCTATAGTAATGGTCTACTTTTGATTCAATTGTTGCAACGTCGAAGAATTCAATTTAATCAAGTAAACTTTGAACTATAATTCATTACAGCATACCTGTAAATATTCTTCTATTTCACTAGAAGGCAATGTAACAATGGTCATATTCGGAGACAACACGGTAATGATACCAATTTAGTGGAAGCAGCTCACGCCTCGCTTTAGTAAATATGGAAGGAAAGCAGTACCTTTTATCAGTTATTTTACAGTAATTTAATTTACATATTTATTATATTTATTTTAGTGGAAGACTATGCAGTCAAACCTACGAAAATTTAAGCATATTGTATACAGTACAAGGAATGATGAAAATGAAGTAAAAGACAACAGATTGCGTCAAATCAAAAAGGCAAATACAGTATTTATTTAGATTTATTTATTAAACATATATATTATTTTTTTTTATTTAGCAAGATTATAAATCTACTAGCGCTAATACCAGGAGTGATATTGAAAATTTCACGAAGTATATAGCTATACGGATGGTTAAGTGATGTTTGTCCGCAAAATTTTGCAGTTTATTGGATAATAGAAGTGGCAGTGAATGCATACCAAGAATTTCACATGCCAGTGTAATACATGCTTCTATAACTGTAATTTTGTGGATCAAATTTTAACTGATTATTCCAGTATTCATGCAGTTGTTGGTGATTGAAAATTTCTAACTACAGGTGTTGTCAGTATTACAAAGATCTGATTTCTATTTTTGTATCGCTATCTCTTAGGCTGTTCAAAATTTTAACTATAATTGCTGTTATTGCATATTTGCTACAACTGAATAGGACTTTATTTATTGGTATTGAATTATTCATGTTTACAATCGCGTTAATTGTGTGCTAGTTACAGCCTGCATTTTTCAGAATATTGTACATATAAACCGTGACACAGAATTACTTTTGTTATAAAATTAATGGCCCTGTAATATGCGTGAGATTTATAACGATAAAAATACACCTATTTCTGTAAAGCTTAGTTATACGTGCTTTCAAATTTTATTTGATACTGAAAATAAGATCTTGTATTTCTGTAAAAGGCTAAATGCTAATTAAGATTGACTATTCGGATGAGCCTGTCTAAGTCAGGTCTTAATTTTAGTCAGCTAAGTCGATTTATAAACATTGGCTACGCCGGCTTAGCTGGCTAAATATTGAAGGCATGAGATTTTATCAATTATTATTAATTATTTATTAAAAATTACCCATATTTCTGTAAAAGGTTAGTTATACGTGTTTTGATCAAGTTTTACGTATTTGATACTGAAATATATCCTGCATTTCTGTAAAAGGTTAAATGCTAATTAAGTATTCGGTGAGCCTGTTTAAATTAGGTTTTTAGACAACTAAGCCGACCTTTTGAACATTTGACTATTTTAGTCAACTAAGTCGACTAGTCCTGAATAAACTAATATTCTTACATGTCTTATAATACCTTAAAGATCGTCACATATTATTAATGTACTATACTATTTATAGAATATGAACCTGATTGTATGAAAATCCAATTTCTATCTTTTTGAACACCTTTTTTATATTTTGATAGTAAATTACTAATATTAGTATGTTTTCAACTTAATTGTATGATAAGTGCTTGTAAGATTTCACAATTAATAAATCAACTTTTATTGTATTAGATTTACATAACGATGAACTATTTGAATATAGCAATTGTTTGTACAGTACACTCTCTCAAATCCGATACGCATGGTGGACAGCTTTTGTATCGGTTTTGAGAGGTTATCAGATTTAAAAATTGATTTTAAATACCAATGGCATGCTGTCACATGATCACAAATAAATATTATTGGCTGGATTATATTTTTATATATATATAATCTGTTGCACAAAATCCGATCTGAGCCAATCAAATCGATTTATATTACCTGTCAAAACCGATATCTTATAGATATCTGACCTTTTGGGTATTGGTTATCAGAAATGGTAGGTTATCGTGTTTTAATTATGGAACAGTCATGGTAAACTTATAAATAACAATAATTTACTAATACAGATTTAGAATAATTCGTCCCATTTGTTTCTAAGAATCCTAGTCCTGATCTGGTTAAGAAACAAGTTCACGCCCCTATCAAGTCTTTCTAATCTGTATAACTTTTGAACTTTTATCTGGTGCAAAAAAAAAAAAGCCAATGCTAATTTTGATTAAAACTTACCAATTAAGCATCTTATATAATAATTTAATTTTCTTTTAATAGTAAATGTAGGTCATATAACAGGTGTTATACCAAATAGACTTGTTTAAGCTTATGTTATTTGTTATAGAAAAAAAAGAAAAATAAATCTGTTATTGCATGCACCATATCCCAATAATAGTATATCTGGTTTCGAATTTGACAGCCTCTTATATATCATATGAGAACATAAATTATATATTTTATGTTTTTAGTTGGTTCTCATAATTTTTAAATTCTCAAATTTTTTTAAATGTTCTTGAGAACACTAAGAACATTAGATATCTAAGACTGATCCCATAGTCTTTTAGATCATAGTATTCTCATTTTTCTGCTAAATAAAACTGTTATTAGATGCTACATATTTAATAACTATTTATTATTATCTTATTAGTATATTTCAAAGCAAGAATGGTTATTTAAGAGTTGGGCTTGATTTATTTTGTGTTAAATCTATTTGATATGTTAAAAAATATCAAATATTCATATTATATAGTTTTATCTCAGTTCTGAGCTAGTCCATAAAAGCTTTGTCTGAAATTGAAAATATGATATGTTCTGAAAAATGATTTATTATTATTTGAGTTTAATAATTTATAATATTTATAATAGATAAAGATAAATAAACAAACCTATTGTAGTAAAAATATTAATGCAATTACAATTAATTTGCAGAAAATTACCTTAACCTTAATTAAATTTATAAATATAAGAAGCCTTATAGCAAAACAAGGCTTAGAGATATTTTAGTTTTGTATAAATATTTTGTAATAATTTTACATCTACAAATATAAGCCTTTAAACTATAAAAATATTTGCTTGCTTATAATATAAACAAGCAAATAATTTTATAGTTTAAAGATTTATATTTATAGATATAAAATTATTACAAAATATTTATACAAAACTAAAATATTACCAAGCCTTGTTTTGCTGTAGAGCTCTCTATATATATTTTTACAGTACTAAACAGTATAATACAACCAATCTATACTATAAAGTGCTAATTTTTGGTACTTATATAATCAATTTTGATTAGCTAATTTTGGCACAATTTATTCTAATTGATTAAATAAATCTATATTTTTTTTCTAATTTTTTAAACCATTATAAATTTTAACTTCTTATAACTTTCTTAAAACTATAGTTGTTAGATAAATCCTTGAAGTTTCATGCTAACAAAACATAAAATCTAGTTTTATTAAAATCTTAAATAACAAAATAACAAAATTGATAAAAGGTAATAAAATTAATAAAAGATAATAAAACTAACAAAACTAATTTTTTTTTTTTTTTTAATGAATTCAGCAGTCTTGCCTTCACTTTATTAGGCTTTGTAATAATTTTTTAAACTATTAAAATTTTCCAAAAAGCTAATCTCTTTGGTACAAGTGGAGACTCACCTGGTTGCTCAATGAGTACCTATGTGCGACCTGCTATAGTAAAATTCACCTCTGTATTATCTTATCCTAAAATTGGCTTCAATAATACGTCAACAGCTAGTTCTTACCGCCTGTCAAAACTACATATTCATTTTTCACCAATCTGCACGTTTCCCTCCAACAATCCAACCTAACAATTCTTTCTTAGTTATCTCATATACTATTTCAAATCTTGAATCTTCCTCTCTTTTTCTTCTTGATGCATCAACGTGTTTATTTGGAGGAGTTCTTTCATTCAGGGATTTGACTCTTTCTTCGCTCTTCTTTTTTCTT